ACCTATGATAGCTCTCTAGCTCATGGAAACAGAAAATTCACTGAAATAAAAAACACAAATACCAAACAAAATTATACCTCATTGGCCGCATAAAGATGACCCTCACAGCTTCTTTTCATTAGAAAGGCACCACTCATCTGCCAGGTACAACTGTCTGGTGTTCTTTTAGCGCGTCAATCAAACCCGCCCCCTGGGCAACAACATGGCATGTGGAACAAAAGATAAGTTCCCTCCTTTACATGCTAACATGTTTTTAACCCCATTAATCAACAAAAAACACAGGAATTTCCAATGATAAAAGTTATGTATTGACCCTTTTAGAAATAAAATATTAATATTAATAATTAAAATAGAAATAATTAAATTAACATAAAAATCATTCAAATTAAAAACAGTTCATTCATATATAAATATGCTCTTAATGGCAGCTGCATCCTGTATAAAAATATTTAGTCTGTGGCAAACAGACTAAATTCTTGTGTCTGGTCCAGCTGGCGGCCCGCGAACAGAAGGTGAGGGATCTGGAGGACGCTCTTTCCCGAGAGCGCGACACCACCCGCCGACTCCTGGGGGAAAAAGACCGAGAAATGGCTGAGATGAGGCAGCAGATGCAGCAGCAGCTGGACGAGTATCAGGAGCTGCTGGATGTCAAGCTGGCTCTGGATATGGAGATCTGTGCCTACAGGAAGCTGCTGGAGGGGGAGGAGGAGAGGTCGGTTGAGGGGGTCTTGGTGGAAATCTTTTGTTAAGTTTAACCGGACATTTGTCCTCTCAAACATCCCGGGTATAAGCATCTCTTGGTTTGGAGCCTCGATTGTTCAAAGTATCCTAATTAAGACATAAAGGAGTCCCCGGCCCCAAGGCCCTGTGCCGGGGCCCCTCCCTGTATTTTCCGGTCAAATTTACCCTGTTTTTAGTCATTTTATGTCTCTTCTGAGTGGCTTTGTGTCTTTTTTAGTTAGTTTAATGTCCGAATTTCATCATTTTCAGCTCATCAGGATTTTAAACCCACTTTTCCTGTTTTCCTCTTTCAATTTCAGCAACTCAATGAGCTTTTCTAAGAAACTTCAACCACTAAAACTCTCTTTTCTGGTCAGGAAATAAATAGAATCTGACTTTTTGGTCAGCAATAATGATGTTTTTTAGTAAAAAAAAAATTAGTCAAATAGAATATTAGAAAATGCATTGATAACAATAATAATTGTGTTTTAGTGTTAAACATCTTTTGGGCTGCAGATATTTAGCATCACAGGAACACAAGGAGTTCCTCTGCTGCTTATCCAGGGTCAGACCTCCCTCTGGAAGGTGGAACATCTGTTAAACTGTATTTCCTCTGTCATCAGGCTGCGTCTGTCTCCTAGCCCGCCTCCAACCAGAGTCACAGGAAGTCGTTCCTCCACTTCTGCAGTCCATTCTGGCACTAAGAGGCGGCGGGCCAACGACACCGACAGCGAGGCCTCCAGCTTCGCTGGCGGCGCCGTGGCCCGAACTCGCATCACCCAGCAGGCGTCGGCCAGTGGTCGGGTCACCGTGGACGAGGTGGACCTGGAGGGGAAATATGTCCGGCTGAGCAATAAGGCTGATGAGGTAGGAGAGGCTGGAGTCTGCTCCGCTGCAGCAGCAAAACACTGGGGAACTAGAACATTTCGAAAGAAATTTTGAAGGGGGACCACTTGCTGCCCGCTCCAGGAACCTGGAGTGGGCAGATAAATATATAAATAAATAAATGTATGAATATAACAGGGTCCGACATATTGAGTTTTGGTTGGTCACGGTCGAATGAGCTTCCACATTTTGTCCGGTGAATGCTTTATTCTGCCCAGTAACACATCCTTTTTGCATTTATGCTCTTCTGTGGCTGCGGGTCGGCACGAAGCTGTGCAGACCCGCAGCAACAGCTGACCTCGAATTTCCCTAAATAAGACATTGTTTTTGGGATGGGGCCTTCAAAATGGGCCTGGGAGCCTGTACTGGTACCAGAACAGCTGACTACCAACTGACATTCTGACACTTTTTTTGACGCGCGTGCCGATTTTGGGCCCGATCCGTCGAACCATGCGGGACTAGATTCTATGCCAAAAATCGTGATGGAAGAAGAATAAAACGCAATCTGGGGGGCCTGCTGCTGGCAGTGGCTCCCCTACTACTATTGTGCATATTTATTTATTTGGAGGCCCTCCCCTAATCAGCACAAAACTCTCATCCCACCATGTTGCTGCAGGACCAGAGTTTGGCCGGCTGGCAGCTGAAGCGGCAGGCGGGATCCAGCCCCCCCATCTCATTCAAGTTCCCGGCTAAGTTCACCTTAAAGGCCGGTCAGAGGGTCACGGTTAGTAGAGTCTCCATCCGCAGCCACAGCCACAGGTCTGCTGGCATGCCTCTGATGTTTTACTGCTTCCCCTCCATCAGATTTGGGCCTCTAATGGCGGTGGGACCCACAATCCTCCTTCAGAGCTGGTGTGGAAGAGCCAGCCCTCCTGGGGCACCGGAGACCTGCTGCAGACCACTCTGATCAGCGCCTCCGGGGAGGTACCAAAGCCACCCCCATAAGTGTTTTTCTCCATTTATTGTGTTTTTTCTGTTAGTTTATTTGGCTTCGTTTTGTTTTTTTGTGGAAATTTTGTGGGTTTTCTGGGCAAATTTGCCTGTTTTTGGTCATTTTATATCTCTTCCTAATAGCTTTGTGTGTGTTACAAGAACACACAGAGTTCCTCTGCTGCTTGAGACCCTTAAAGTATTTTTATCATCCATGACCAAATCAGCATCATCTTCAAATGAACAAATAACACTTTTCTGTACAGGAAATGGCGATGAGGAAGGTGACCCGCACACAATTTGAAGAGGAAGATGACGACATGGTGAGAAAAGTTAGATTCAGAATTCACATGCGATAAATTACAATTACCCTAATACATCCTTAAATTCATCCACCATACCTTTTAAGTTAAATGTGTAACATTTTGAAGTGAGTTTTAATGCAGAATGAGGCAGACAACAAAACATTTTTTTCTGATTTTTAAAAATATATATATAAACAAGACAGTAAGATGTTCTAAATTAGAATAGGTTTTATGAATAGTTTTAATTGACTTCTACTGTTCTATTGTACAAAATAAATTAATAAACCAGATGAAATTCGAAAACAAACTGAATTATGTTATTACTTTTGACCTGATAGATAAGTACTTCAAAACATTTAATTAATTAATTATGAAATTAAAGTCGTAAACCTATATTATATATCCAAATATACAAATTGATGAAGACATCTTTGAAAAGCTGATGTTTCTGTGAGTTCCGGTCAAATCCAGATGTGTGGGCCTCAGCAGGTGGCTCACAGCACGTGCGGGGACGGCGAGTACAACCTGCGCAGCCGCACTGTGGTCTGCGGCTCGTGCGGACTCCCGTCGGACAAGTCCAGCAACTGCTCCGTGTCCTCCGGTTCCCGGTCCTACCGCAGCGGCGGCCTCTCCGAGGGCCTGCTGCCGCACTCCTACGTGTTCAGCGCCAGCACCCCGCGCAAGGTGACCCCGTCATTCTGGGATATTTGTCCCTAATTACGACATGCTAGCATAGCAACAATAACAACAACAACTCAATCATGCCTGTTAGCCACGGCTGCTCTGCTGTTGCCACGGTAACGACGTCACATGACAACGTAACGAAGCCACAGTCGTTAATAAACATCATAAATAAAGTTTTAAAGTGTTCTCAAAGAATAAGGAATTTACCTCTTTGTTTATTGTGCAGTTTAGTGGTTAATGTGTCTTTTTTTTTGTGATTCAATGGCCTTCCATATTAGACAATATTATCTTAATAAAAGTAATAAACATTAACATACTGAGGATGCTACCACCAAGTAGAATCTCCATTCAGCTTTGTTTGTAGCATTTTTTATATATTATCTTTAGTTAAGATAATTTTTTAAGTTATATTGTGTCATTTATCCTTTTAACCTATCTTATTTCACCTAATTTATCATATGCATCTCATCTCATCTTCTCCTAAAGTTACATTTGAAATGTCGTTGACGAATAAAGTTGTTTAAATTTTCATTTTAACATGCCTGTAACATTAATGAGTTACAATGAGGTATTTGACTAATTTTAATTTTGGTTTTCATAGAACTAACCCAATCGCTTTCCTTTCAGACCGGAGCCAGACTGGAAAGCTGCCCGATCATGTGATGTTCTGGAACCACATTAAAGTTTATTCATCTTCAAATTTTACACATTTAATCACTATCAGCCTTTTCTTCAGTGCATTGATGTAGTTACAATTTTTTGATATCCTGTATGCAATAAAACTTTATAAAAAACCTTTTTAAATGACAAACATAGCATGATTATAAACTATTTTTAATAAAGCATTGATTAAAGCTTTTTTAAATAAGCGACATCAGCTGTTCTCCTGAAAGGAAATTATTTGAACAGCTGACCATTTTACAAACCTTTCTGCCATAGATTGTTAAAGTCTTACAACATATTTACTTAAAACTGTTATTGGTTGTAGTTTTTTATTCCGAATAGTTAAACTTGGTTTTCTTTTATATAATTTTGTGTTGTATTTGATTTGACAATAGATTGACAATGCATCCAATTTACACAACCTTTTTCTATTTTTTTCTAATATGAATAAACATGTTTTTCAGAAAACTTTGTCTTGTTATGAAACTGAATGGATTTAGATCTCTGAATTATCATACAATATAAATTATTCCATAAACCGTGTTTATGATACATTAGCATTACTTTATGTGACATTTAAAAGTGTGATTGATAACTGTTTTGCTTTAGTTCTATTGTTTCAGTAACAGAAAGTAATAAGGATTAAAATATATATATATTTTCCATTTAACCATAGACTTTTTCCATAATCTTTTAGGGATTTCATCTTATCAATAATTTTAAAAAAGTTATCTAATTATGTTAACTAAAAACTCTTGTTTTTAACTTGCTATCGGTGACTTTTGACCCTTGTGGCTCTCCGTACCCGGTCTCTGGTTGCCTAACCCGGAAGTAAACGGCAAATTTCGGTCAGCTGGACATTCAGAGCTTCATCTGCACGTCTGTGACTGTAAGTCGTGCAAAAGGACAAACGTTTAGCTGAGTTTTTCGGGGGACAATAAAAGTTTAAACGTAGTAGCTGTTTGCTAGTAGCTGTTAGTAGCCTGCAGACGGAAGCTGCCAAACGTAAACAACCCTGATCAATGATGGCCTCCAGATGGGATTGTTTTTCATTATATAACCTAATTAAGTTATCTAATGACAACTGTTGTTGCTTCGTTTGTTTTAAACAAAAAATAATTTAAATTCTTTTTTGGACTCTTTTTGGATTTTTAAAATAATTGGTTTACATTTACAGCTTTTGAAAAACATTTTATTGTGGTAGCATGGTAATATCAGGCCAGCTCACTTTGTAAGTTGATCAATATTGCATCCAAGCAGAAATATAAACTAGTAATCTGATTAAAAGTCAAGTAAATCTTAATTTTCGTCATTACAGGGCTACAGGCAGATGTTATTCATTGTTAATCAGATCATTTCAGCTTGAAAATACCAGAAAATCGTTAAAAGCCCTGAGATTAAACTCACACTAGTCTAGTAGGTTCATCTCACTTCAGCTCATTTCTTATTTTTAATTTTGTGGCCCCTCGGCTTACATTACAAGAAAATATGGGCTCCAACCAAATCTGAGAAAGATTGCCTGTCTTTAACACAAAATAAATGCATGAATACATAATAAAATAACAAATAAATTAATGAATCAATGAAAGAAAATAAATGAATAAAAAAAAGACAAAGAATGAATGAATAAAAGAAAATAAATAAATAAATAAAAGAAAATAACTAACTAAATACATTAGAACGATGTGTTTTCTGAAGGCAGCTTGATGAACCACAGCCTCCTTCTACCCCCCCCCCAGCAGGTGGGAAAACATCTGGATGTTGAGCGCTCGGGCTTTGGTTGGGATCGGCTTCCTGGTGACTTCCCGAGCCGCCCTCGCTCAGACGGGGACGTGCTCGCCGCCCACCGCCGCTGACCGCCACCGGAGGGAGTGCCCGCTCATCCGGTCTGCGTCCACCATGGCGCACGCCATCAAATACCTGGGGTGAGATACAGCAGCTGGATGGATGGTTTTGTTGTCTCTCTTTCCTTTTTTTCTCTCCTCTCTTCCTGTTTTAGGAATCTCTTTCTTTTTTCCCCTTTCCTGTTCCCCGGTCATGTTTGGCATTAGCCATATTACTTATGTAACAAAAATAAATCCTAGATATATAATAAAGCAGTATTGGATGATCAAGGGAGGGTTCTCACCCTGACAGGCCTCCCTTGGCAAAGCAAAAGTGTCGGGCACAGCATGGCACTCAGATTACAATTCTGTTGCCATAATGCCAAACACGACAAGGGAAAAAAATAAAAAAATAAAATAAAAAAGATACCTGGGGTGAGGCTGAGGGCCGGGGGGGGTCCAGGGGCGACAAACTGAGCTGCGCGTCTCCGCAGGCAGGAGGAGGCGCAGCGCATCGACCAGGAGCTCTTCAGCGAGTACGGCTTCAGCGTGGAGCAGCTGATGGAGCTCGCCGGCCTCAGCTGCGCCGCCGCCGTGGCCCGGGTGAGGCCGCCGTTTGGTCACCTGACCCATGTGGGGTTTCGTCACGTGACCTCCCTGCCAGTCCACAGTGTGGATTCAGACCATCATGCAGTTTTTAAATAGAACCGATTAATAGTTTCTGACTCCTGGATGAAAGCTGCCGCACTTCCAACTCAAAATTATTCTAAAGAGGTTTCCAAGTCATTAGAGACAATTTTGAATGTTCAAAGCATGAAGAAAAGCGTTAAAAGAAGCTGTCTTTAGAGAAATTCCTGAATTAACACAATTTTTTAAAAAAATCCCAAAAACTATAAAAACAAATATATGTTTCTGAATTTAATTAATTAATTAATTCTGAAATAATTCATAAACATGTTTGTTTTTTATTATAAATGACAGATTTTTGTCAAGTGATAAATGAGCTGATAGAAATATCTAGATAAAATCACATCATTCTAAAATATTTGTCAGATCACAGCACAAAGTGTGGAGGAGAAGCTTCTCTTTACCAGCTGCTCTTCGTCTCTTGTTGTTATCGTTTTTCCTGCAGGCATATCCTCTCACGTCGCTGCTCAAGGCCAGACCTGCTCTGCTGGTCATCTGTGGGCCTGGAAACAACGGCGGCGACGGCCTGGTCGCTGCCCGCCACCTGAAGCTCTTTGTGAGTGAGACGCTCTGCAGGAGAGGCTGCTTTGTGTCATTTTGTGGCACCTTTGTGAGGGTTTTATGTGTTCTCCTCCATTTTCTTTGTTTTTTCTGGTGGTTTTGTATCTGATACATTTATTTTTCTTCATTTTATGTGTTTTTGGGGTTATTTTTTTGTGTTTTCCTTGTCAAATTTTGCCTGTTTTTTCAATTAGTCTCTTCTGAGTGGTTTTGTGTGTCTTTGTGTCTTTATTCTGTTCATTTTTTGTCAAGGATTCCTGTTTTTTCTCCCTAAAGCTTCTCTGAGAACATTCAACCACTAAAACTTTTTTTTCTGTTCAGGAAATAAACAGAATCTGACTTCTTAATCAGAAGTAATGATACTCTTTAGTACTTATTAATTTTGTAGTCAAACAGAATATCAGAAAACATCATTTATAACAATAATAATTGTATTTTAGTGTTAAACATCTTCTGGGCTGCAGAGTCTTACCATCACAGGAACACACAGAGTTCCTCTACTGCTCAGAAATGACTCCCTGTTCCTCTGTGTGCTGCTCAGGGTTACGAGCCCTCCATCCTCTACCCGAAGAGGCCCAGCAAGCCGCTGTTCCAGGCTCTGACCACCCAGTGCCAGAAGATGGACATCCCCTTCCTGAGCGAGATGCCAGAGGTCGGACACTGAGCGGCTCCCAGAACTGGTTTGGCAGAAAGTCAAAATCCGAGTCAGTTCTGGACACACAGAGGTGGTGATTTCTGACACTGAACAGCAAAGGGTCTGTCCCAGTAACGGGACAGACCAGAGACCAGGCACCAGCCACTCAACCAGGAAACAGAGTCTAGTCTAGTTTAGTCTGAGATGGAGACTTAGACCCACACAGCTTCCATTCAGCTCCAACTCCAGTTCCACACTTAGCTTCCCTCTAAGAGGATGTAACATTCAGACTGGTTTCAGACTCAGACTGGTGTTATAATGGAAACTTAAATCCTGTCTTGTCAGTTGCTTTGGATAAAAGCGCCTGCTGGATGCAGAAATGACAGGCAATCAACCAGGAAACGCCTTAAATATCTAAACACAACTGTCTTTTGTAGAGACCACAATCTGTACAATTTACAGACTAACACACACACTAAAGGGGCTAAAGATACCCAACAGACTGGGTGTTCACGGGGCAGAAATGTGAGGTCAGAGCTGGTTTAGTGGAGAAAAAGGAAGAGAATAAGAAAAGAAAACAGCCCTCTGAGAGACTCTGGTGTCTCTGTGCAGGCGGGCGTCATCGATGAGGCCTACAACCTGGTGATAGACGCCATCTTTGGCTTCAGCTTCTCGGGCGCCGTGCGGGAGCCTTTCGGCGCCATCCTGGACGAGCTGAGGAAGACCACGGTCCCCATCGCCAGCATCGACATCCCCTCAGGTGGGTCCTCCTCTGGGAGCAGAGGGCCGCCTCCTCAGGGGCTGTAGCCTGACCTTTGACCCCTGCCTGACCATTAACTCATTGACTCCCAGCCATTTTCAGAACAGAGAGTCCCATACTGCCAGAGTTTTTTGAGCATTTTGACAGATTTTTCAAGAGCCACAGAATAGTTTGTGCTATGACTATGTAAACACCGAACACACCAAAAGAAAGATTAGACTCTCTTCTTTCATCAGGAAAAAAAAAGTGTTTCTACCTTATTCCGTTCTTCCTCGACTTGCGACATGTTCTCTCATAGCGAACCGTTACGTTTTTCTTATTTGCCTACAGTCCATGCTCATCTCCCATCAAAAGTGGCACTGCCACCTAGAGGGTCAATTTGTTAGTACATACGCTATCTAGAAGCCTGATATTTACGGACAAGCTTTTGCAGATCGTCCCCCAGCCACTCTCGTTAAAAAACATAAAAGATGTCTATAGACGTCTTTGGCAGCCAATGAGTTAACCTCTGCTTTGCTTCCAGCCGGGTGGGGGAGCAGAAAGCTGAATTACTGGGGGCTGTAGCCTGACCTTTGACCTCTGCTCTGCCCCTTTCAGGGTGGGACGTGGAGCAGGGCAGCTCAGACGGGCTCCAGCCCGACATGCTCATCTCTCTGACCGCCCCCAAGAAGTCGGCCTCCCAGTTCAGGGGGCGCTACCACTTCCTGGGGGGGCGGTTTGTGCCTCCCAGCCTGGAAAAAAAGTACCAGCTCAACCTGCCTCAGTTCCCCGGCACCGACTGCGTCCTCCAGCTGTAATCTGAGGAAACTGACGATTGAGTTTCCTCTGTAGTTGTTTCTGTAACAAAGGGCGGCCATGTTGGATCCTGAGGGTAGCTGAGGGCGGCCATGTTGGATCCTGAGACTCTTCTGGTGCTCAGAGTCCCAGATCCAGAGGTTTTGGGGGGGGGGGTTCTGCTTCCTGGTTCCAGCTTCAGTGTCCAAATGAGTCCCCAAAGTTTGACTTTTTGGGAGGAAACTGCTGTCAAACTGGAAGTTGGAGCAGCTTTTTGGTTCTGCTGCTGCTGCTTTGTGTGAAAAGTCTGTATTTCAAACCCCTCTCAGGTTTGACTCACTGCTCCCATAAATAAAGAAACATATGATCCCTCAAGCGTTTTCTTGAATTTATTGGATTTACCTTAAACGTGAATTCATTTTTAAAAATGCGCTGCATTAAACATTCGAGGATGCTTTAATGTCAGGCACCATTTTCTCTCATCTTTGGGTTTCTGACACAGAGAACAGCTTCTTTGCTTTGTGACAGAAGACTGTCCGACAGGTTTTCTCCATATTTATTAATACTTCTTTACATGTCACTGTATGTACAAGTAGCAGTTAAACTGGAAACATGGTCTATCAGGCTCCATCGCATTCTACATTAGAGGAAACAGTTCATCAGCTTGGGATTGGTGGGGGGGGGGGGAAGTAAAAAGCTTTCTGTAGGATCAACCTCTCAGAGCCCCCTCAGACTCCAGCTGTGACTACAAACACGCCAGTGCTGCTAAATGCTGTCAACAAAGTGGCTCATTAATGCATAATGGGTTCTTAAATAAGTGCTGGACATGCTTTGACGAGCAGGAGGTTATGTACAGGCTGCTGGATCCATGCTCTCTGTGGGGGGGCGTCCACTCGGGGGGGTGGAGGAGCTGGTGGACCTGGTCCAGGTGGGCATGCAGGTCGGCGGCTGGACGGGTGGTTATGGTCCAGGGGGGGGCCTGACCACAGAGAGAGGAACCCCCAAGTCAGAACACAGATGGTGGTTTCTTCTTTGTTGGCTTTATTTTATGTGATAAAATATCAGAATCTCAGTTTCTGTGTTTTATAAGTGAAGTTCCCCATAAATCTGTATGTTCTCTGACCCACAGGGATGCGGTTCCCCCATAAATCTCTGACCCACTGGGATGTGGTTCCCCATAAAACTGGGTCCTCTGACCCACAAGGATGCGGTTCCCCATAAATCTCTAACCCACTGGGATGCGGTTCCCCATAAATCTGGGTTTTCTGACCCAAAGGGATGCGGTTCTCCATAAATCTGGGTCCTCTGACCCACAGGGATGCAGTTCCCCATAAATCTCTCACCCACTGTATGTTCTCTGACCCACAGGGATGCGGTTCCCCATAAATCTGGGTCCTCTGACCCACAAGGATGCGGTTCCCCATAAATCTGTATGTTCTTTGACCCACAAGGAAGCGGTTCCCCATAAATTTGTATGTTCTCTGACCCAAAGGGATGCGGTTCTCCATAAATCTCTGACCCAAAGGGATGCGGTTCCCCATAAATCTGTACGTTCTCTGACCCATAACGATGTGGTTCCCCATAAATCTGGGTTCTCTGACCCACAAGGATGTGGTTACCCATAAATCTGTACATTCTCTGAACCACAGGGATGTAGTTCCCCATAACTGTTTGCATTCCTTCCACTGGGGTGTAATGTGGGGAACCAGAGTGGTGCTGTGATGTGCTGAGCTCCCTGATCCCCCACTGGCTGGAGGTGTGAGTGGGCGGAGCCTCCATACCTGTGTTATTCTCCGACCTGCACACCTGCACAGTTGTCTTTACTCTCGGAGGCGATCGCTAAGTATTCAGCATTTCTGGAGGGAGGAGAAGAACCCGTTAGGCTGCAGCAGAGCTGAGAAACCAGCAGCTTCTCAGTGAAATGAAACAGGAAGTGACAAATGGGGACTTACAGGAGGGATGTTTTTGTTTTGACTGATGGGATGAAAACAGGTCGACACAAAGACATGATGAAGGCACACAAAGACACAATGAACGCACACAAAGACACAATGAACGCACATAAATACACAACATAAAAAAAACACTGGACAGTTGAACTGAGGCTGAAAACCAAAGATCAGAGGGACAGAGAAGAGAAACCAAACAGTGTGTAACTGTGTGTGTTAACCTGTTCTGAGTGAAACTTTTTTAACCAGTTTTGTGTGTAACTTTGTGTGTTTAACTGCTCTGCTCTTGTGGACTAACTGGCTTCAAAGGAAATTTATTTTCAGTTTTGTGTTTTATTGGTCATTTTGTGCCTGTTCTTTAAGTGTTTTGTCTCTGTCTGCACCATTCCGGGTCTTTTGTTTTTTAGCAATCTTGTGTCATCTTTTGTCATTTTCTGGCCAGTTGGCCTCTTTTTCTGATCCCTTGCTCAGTATTTTGGTCCTTTTCTATCTAATTATTGAAGGTTTTAGTCCGTTTCTGATCAGATTCTGTATATTTTGTCTTTTTTTTAACCATTTTTTTGTCTTTTTTGTAATTTGTTTAATCAGATTGTCCCCTTTTCTGATCCTTTGCTCAACATTTAGGTGATTTTGTGTCTGTTTCTGATCTTTTTCTGCCCCCCCCCTCTGCTCTACAGAAGCAGACACCACTCACGCCGCCTCTCGAAGCGCCTCCTCGCCGGCCGCCGCAATCTTCCTGTAGCAGTAGATCATCTCGATGAGGAGCCAGACCTGCAGGCCGATGATGGACACGTACATCATGACCTCCGACACGATGGAGGCGGTTCCCCTGGTGGCTGCAGCAGAAGCAGAACACATGTTCACATCACCCATGTTCACATGCAGGGAAACCC